ATTACTCGATTGCGTCACGACTCTGGGATAATGTGTCAATCTGTCCAAAATATCAACACAAAAACTGCACAGGTGTCAGCTATGGTCCGGAATGCCTTGTGCATCAGCTATGGCCCGGAATGCCTTGTGCATCCATACAGATTTATTTCATAAAGCTTTCGAAACTACCAGTTTCCCATACTTGGACGTTTTCGCCACCCGCTGATGCCTGCCGAGTGTTAGCTGCAGGGCTGACACCGCTAAGCTCATAGAAACTGCATCACCGAGCGTTGGCGTCCTTTTTTCTTAGGCATGCTAAAAGCGCACATGCTTAAACTGGTATATACCTTTTTTGCCAATTTTTTTAAACGGCTGCTGATCTTCTTCAGGGGAGCAAGAGTTGAACATATACATGCAAATCTTGGACCCGAGAAAGTCGGGCAACGCCTCTGACTTCAATCGTTTTATCGAAAGGGCCGAATGAACCATTGTAAACTGCCAGGCACCCGCAGATTATTTCATAAAAATTGCAGTCAATAGATACATGGCTTATGTCCCTGCAGCTGCCAACATATATTGAACAATATATTTGCATAGAATACTATTCAAAAAGCAAAATGTACATAATATGAATATGTATTGCACGCAGCCGGGTCAATCAACAACAGTTGGGCTATTCTCAGACCCTCGTCACCTTATATGGTACCACACACCGCGCAAGACACATACCTATTGAGAGGAAAGTCAAGTTTGTTGAATCACGTGTCGAATCCTAATTTTGAAACGACCCTTTGAGGCATTCTATGGACCTTGAGCGATAGTTTTCTCGCCGGGCTGCTGCACTGCGCAATACATATATCGTCTCTTTCGATGTATGTTTTCACGCAAGACAGGTTCAGATAGCGTGACTGCCGCGTGTCTCAGAGCACGCGCCCGCGATCGTGCATTAGCGCAGAGCGTAGCGCGGCAGGCTTCCCAGTGATCAGAACGCTGCGCAGCAGGCAGAGATCAAAGTAAGAGATGAACTCATGTACGGACAGCCAGCCCGGTTGATTGATCGCACACAATGAATTGATCATGATCACATCGATATGTCATGATTTTTTGTCGACCTGAGATGAGTCTGGCAGTGAAGTCGAGGACATTCTGCAGTCTTGATATATTTGAACGTCTCGCACTATAAAACGCTTGGCACAATGACTTTATGGGGAAAAACTAGGCCATTGACTATCCCAGGTAATGCTGTTGAAGGAAGTGCATGCTTAGCATTTAGGACGCCTGTTAACCTTCACCCTGACAGGGGGTCGATGCGACTCCCTCTCCCGAAAGTGTTGTGAGGATACCTCTCCGGTATGTTGTGCAATCGCGCCCAAATTTTCGGTAGCCTATGGGGCATCTATTGCACGCGATTTGACACCAAAAACTTGTTCATTATTTTTATCGCTCCGGAGCAGCGGCGGTTTTTGAGGAACAATGCGAGCTACGGCCGGAGTGGGCGGGCGGGCGGCAACCGACGACGCCGCGGAACGCGCGCAGCGGCCGACATGGTTACATTAACAGAGCCATATATCGCAAATGTGTGCTTAAAACTCAACAAAGATATACCATTATGCTCTGAATTGAACAAGTAACACGACCGCCCAGGTTTCATGCCGCCACAAGCCATATTCTCGTCTGTATGATGTTGTAAAATTGAAAAAGTGCGATTTTCTGGGGATTTGACCTGTGACCAGACATGATAAGGTCCATTACTGACCCAACAACGTACAAATTGGTCATCTTCGCGAGATCTTGTTGAGAACAATCTACGGGCGTTTTGCTCTGAACGCTATCTTTACTAGTTTGGAAACGCCGGGGGAAAGCATCGACCCCCTTCAGTTCGCGATATGGAGAGCGGCGAACCAGGGCCAGGATTAAGATGGCAAGTCATTTGTTCCCCACCTGACCTATGTGATAGCCATGCGACGGAGATGGTCCATCACGATTGCGAGATTTCGGAGTTTTGAACACTGTAACACCTGATCCGTGAATACCATGAACGGATACTCTCGAAATTTGTTAAGCTGTCGGCGGTCGCCACACATTTCGGTTTTGGCTACATTCACCATTATCTCATGCCGCAGGAACCACATGCACGTTACGTCCAGCACTGACTGCGGTGACCGCTGCATCTCCGCTAATCTGACCAGAGGGTCTGGAACGAGCAGCTGCGCGTCGTCAGCGTAGCGGGCTAATATGACGCCGAATCCGTTTGCGTGTCATGGGATGAAACACGCGATATCTTTGCTGAAGATGTTGCATATCAATGGCCAGTAACAGCATGAAGAACACATCTGAATCTGGCATTTTGAATTTTCATTTGCATTTGAGCATCTGATCTGGCATGCCTTTTCAGCCATTTAACAGATTTTTAATAAATATATTTGTGCCATCATTTGTTATGACAAAACTAGGCACATTTTAGTACAGAGGTGCTTTAGGATATGCATTCTGCGACAAACTCGACGACAAACGCACGTGCAATTTCACGTGCACGCATGCACATGAATGTGAAACGCAAAAGACATGACACGTAATTGTTGTTACTCCTGGCATGCTGAAGGAAGAACCTTCCAATTCTTGTAACCAATCTTGAAATCGATGTGAAAAGTATTAATATCATGAGTGCTGTGGTTCCAAACCTATCCAATAAGAGCATTAGGCAGGCCCATGAAGGCATCTCATCCCACGCGTTCAAGCGTCCATTGCTGACCATAGCGGTTGCAGCACAGCGGGAACCTGCTTGTATGACGTCACAGTTATCAGGGAAAATGCATGAAAATGCAACAACTCACAAATGCCACCAAATTCTGCTGCTGTATAGCGTGCACGGCAATGGCGTTGAATCGTGTTCGTAATATTGGCACGCGAGCTTCAGGACACCAAGATGGATCACTGGTGAGTCTCAACCCCAGAAACGAAGTAAGCGCTTGCAAGGCGCGGTGTGTTAATTGGTGGATAGAATGAAACAAAAAGGTTAGCCATAGTTTCATTCGTCTGATTATCTATCCGTCTTTTTGTACAGATGTAACGCCTTGCTGAAAACCCACGTCACACCTTTTAACACTGACATGAACTCCACCTTAACTTAAGCCTTGTTGTTCAGAGATTTTTTGGTGATTTTGGGGTCATCTTGCGTTGCCTGTGACGTCATCATCCAAATAAAAGCTGTCAACTCTGCAAGTCCCGTACGAAGAGGTCAGGGCTGTCAACCGCCGTTTACATTTATCCGATAACGGTTAGAGCTGAAGAAATGGGTGGTCGCTTTTACCCCTCTGATAGCCGTGGCTACCGAAATACACGGGGCGGCATCGGGTTAAATGTGACATTTCCTTTACCTGCGTCTTACGTGCTTTTATTACTAGCCGCGCCTGCCTTTTCGCCAGGCAAGAAAATACACATACCCATCCTATATTTTACTTAAAATATGCCAATGCGCAATTCAGGTAATTATAATTCTATGCCATTTTTCAACACTGCATTGAATTTAAGGTATGTTGTGCATTACATTGCTCGTGTATTTGAGTCCTAAAGAAGATGCGAACCGATATATATTGAATATTTTTCGGCCTGAGTTTTGTAACATGAGCGTGGACTTATTGGAATATTCTTATTGGACATAGACTCACCTACCTAACGTGCAAGTCAACCAGAAAGCGACATCGGATAGCTTGCGTAGGGGTATATGAGATACATGTCACTGAACATCAGCGAAGCTGACCTTTGTGGTGAATTAAGCCCGTCGAATGTGATAAGAATAGAGCAATATTCCATCTTCCATCTTCGTAGCCATCACTTGCATCGGTGCAAACTATGCTTTGGCGGGTATCACGGCTGTCAAATCAGCTTCCAGTAGTTACCACGAATCTGTCATTGGCGTATTGGAAAGTTCTTGCTACTTGTCACGTTAACATGTGGATATTTTTCAATATTCTCCACCCCTGTGGCGCGGCAGTTTTGTGTTGTTTATGACATACTGAATCACAGGGCAATGACAGCCCATCACTGGGCGTGAACGCAAACATGCCAAGACTGAAATCGGGTCATGCGGATCAAGCCCATTTAGGTGCAGTCCCCTACCCCATGATCTGAGCAACGAAGCATGATTTGGCAGCAAGCAAGCAACGCTAGATAGTATTTGTCACACTGAATCAATGATTCATTAAAGTGACCTAAGGCAGGTCAGACTAGGTCACGGCAGATGAAAAGTTAGTCGCATGAATATTTCTCCGTTTGCTTTGATCCGGCCCGACCCGTTATGGCCTGACCTACCTGCATTTTGTTGAATTACCTCAGCATAAATTATGGTAAAACGGCGAATCAATGTAGGAAATCATTCGGGGCACTTATAATACAATCAGCGCACAAAGTCGGTTGCCTGAGCAGGACACGCAACCGAAACGATATCGATTAGTAGATCACCACACATCACCTGCGGCAAGCAGGATTTTTAATTGTCACAGAACATGTGAATATATTGACAGCGTAACTTCAAGAATGTCCTCATTCTGCGTTTAGCTATTCAGAAGCTGTTCAATAAGTTATCAAGATTCAGACTGCTATTCCAGAAAATCCTCTAAGGTCTCTCGTCCAAAGACGGTCGATGGCAATATCCTCCTGCGGTGTTTACCCAGCCTGTCATGGCTGCCTAACGCCATCTATGCATGGCAAGTCTTTAAACTCTACTCTTAGTACAGGTTCTCAGTTCTCAAAATGATGCCAGGTGTGAAATAAGCACGCACGCTTGGCATAGACACGCACTTATACCACACAGGCCGCACATACACCTAGGACGTGCTCATACGCACGGTACACGCATGTACGTGTTCACAAACACATGCAAGTACGTACTCGCGCAGGTGCCGAAGCACGCACCTACATTTACACCCGTCAACAGGTGCGTTCACCAACGTACGTGCGCGCGCACAACCTTCCCATCACCCAGGCCTCAGTGACGCATCAGCTTCAATTGCACACACATTTCCACGCGCCTGTTACCGCCCAAATGAAGATGAGCGACGGTAATAGGCCAAGGACGGCGCCGATGCCAGCGTACTCACCCGAGCGTTGTCATGGTGACGATGGTGTACCAGAAGGAGGCCGGTATCGAGGTGAAGGTCGACCTCGGTTCTTTCTTCTCAGCGTAGAACATGACCGTGGCAAAAATGATGATGGCCATGGCCAGGGAGAAGACGAGGAAACCCAGCTCCTTGGCGCAAGACTTCAGGGTATATCCCAGGATACGCAGGCCCTGCGAATGACGCGAGAACTTGAAGATCCTACACACGCGGAACACGCGGAGCGTGACGAAGGCGCCCGAGACGTCGTCGTTGTCCGTGATGCCGAGGCCGATGTAGTACGGCAGGATGGCCACCACGTCGATGATGCTCATAACGCTGCGCACGAACTTGCAGCGGTCGGGCGCCGCGTACAGTCGCAGGAGGTACTCAGCGGTGAAGATCATCACGCACGCCGTGTCCAGGCAGAAGAACACCACCTCGTACCGTTCGCCGCACGGCAGCGTCTCGGCCTTGCCCGGCAGCTGTCCGCACGACATCGTCTCCACTACGTTTGCCAGTACCGAGACGGCAATGAAGAAGCCGGTGACGTAGTAGAAGACCAGCGCCGCCGTCGACGTGTGCGGGTTCTCGAAGGCGCGCCACATCTTCTCCCGCAGGTTGGTCAGCTTAGCGAGGTTGCCCTCGCCGTTCTCGGACATCTTGTCGTCCAGCAGACGCTCGGCATTCTCGCGTTTGCGGTCGCGGTAGTCTTCATAGCAGCAGTCGCCGATCACGTCCGGGATGATACCGAAGAACGAGAGCTCTTCGTCATAGCTCGTCAGGCACTCGTGCTTCGGATAGTGCAGCTTGCCAGTGCGGTAGTAGTTGAGGATGTGCCGGAAGATATCCGGGTCCCGGTCGAAAAAGTATTCCCGCGTCTCCTCCTCGTAGAAAAAGTCGCGCTCGTTGGAGCCGAGCAGCGAGTCGGGGTACTTCTCCACCGTGTTACGCCAGGTCTCAAAGCGGCGGCCCGACACGTTGATGATGAGCTTCTCGTCATCGGCGCGGCGCCGGTCACGCGGCACAGGCGGCGCCGGCAGCGGCTGGTTGGCGATCGGCACCCAGCCGATAGCCGCGGCGCGCGCGAACGGCAGCCACGCCGCCACGGACGCCATGAGGCCGATCGGTAACGCCGCTCACATAACCAGCACGCACCGGCGCCCCCGCCGTCGGCCTCCGCACTGGGCGCCGGCGCCGGCGGCGGCGGCGTCGGCGCTGCGCGGCGCACGCGGCCATGTTCGCAGGACGCCCGCCGGTCCCGTCGATTGATTGGGAGCCGCGCAGTGCCAGAAGTCGCCTGTTTCCAGAGTTGCCATGGCGACACAGACACAGACACGGCGGATTGTGCTCCGCGGGAGTTCGGATGCGGTCGTTTAACCAGGCTTAGAGCCATGGCCCTGTAAGGGCAAGAGCAAGGGTGGTCGTCTGGCATTGCCACTCCACACAGGTGCCCTAACCGCTGGGATTCGGCATGCTGCTTTCGGATTAGAAAGAGGTGCGATGAGAAGGGAATAAAGAGTGAGAGAGAGGGAGAGGGGAAGAGAGAAAGAGAGAGAGTGAGAGAGAGAGAGAGAAAGAGAGAGAGAGAGAGAGAGAGAGGGAGAGAGAGAGAAATAATGAGGAAGGGCGAAGGGAATGAGAGGGGAAGAGGGAGTGAGCAAGACGGCAAGACTTACGGTGCGGAATAAGAAGCCTCCCGTTTAGCTGCCCTCGCTCGTTAGTGGGTGCAGGTCAGCCTTGCTCATCGCTGTGTCGGCGGCCACAGGTGCTTGGCCCAGCTGGCCGACCTGTAATTTCGTGCGGTAGGCATTCGCCATCTAAGTGATACCGTTAGCACAGCTGGCGTCTGCACCTGGTGAACACCCCAGCCGGCGCCTGTGTACCAAAGAATAACTCGCGTAACTTTAGTATGCGCTGCCCTGCGTTTGAGATGTCATTGGCTTTATGACATGAAATTCCAACACATACACTGGCAAAGCTATCGGCATGCTGTTTAGATAGGAACGTACAGCGCATCAATCATCTGTATGTGAGCTCGGGGCACCGCCGGATTTAGCGCATTTCCAAAAGCGGTGGAGTAAACGGGACGCTATGCACGTCATTGCAAGCCTTTTCGTCCAACTTCCATCTTGCACATCGTTTGTTTCACGCACGTGACCGATCGCGGTTGCCTCAGCGGGCTACACATCGGAGCCAGAGACGAGGATCGCTCCCGTGGGGGCGATGCTGATTTGCCCTTGTCGTGGCAGCGCAGCGCGAGGACTAAAATAGGCACGGCAGGAGCCCACGGACACAGTCAACGACCGTTTGCAAAGAGTGTCTTGCATGGGATATCATGATACCAGGACAGTGAAACGGTTGGTGCAACGCAGGAGGTTTGAGCCTGAGGCTCACATTTGATCTGACCAACGTCCCCTCAGCGAGGCAACTGAGGAGCCAAGCTGATCAAAATGCCTACACTCTACCGGTCAAGCCCGGCGTCGTCACAGGTTTGACAACACGAGGTTTGGACGTGGAAGGCGCATCAATGACAGATGCTCAGCAACATAGGGAATGAATACAAGTACTCGGCGAATTGATGACGCCGCATTGTTGTGGATCTCACATTGAGGATGCTGCTTTTTTGGTCGGATTATTTCTGTCAGCGATCTAGCAGAGTCAAAGGCTTTATACTGACATGCCAAACAGCCAGTATATTCAAAGTCAGCTACGGGGTTACAAAAAGCAACTGATGTGAAGCAAATCCTTGCCAATTTTTTAAGCCCAGTTACGTCACTCCGGTGCCAAAACTTTGACTACCGTTCTGCATTTTGCATGCCAATTGCTATTACATTTAGGGGTTGTATATAACTCCTCTTACAAAAGTCCTAAGACACTTGAAGTCGGTAAAAACGTCATGATTTAGGTAGTTGTACATGCATGGCTATCTCTTTCCATTCCTCGGGGCACTTTTGGTCCCACAAAAACAAGGTCCATTGGTTTGTGGCATTGCGCTGGAGTTTTACCATAGTGGTGTTTCATACCACCTTTGGTGCAAGACGCCTACACCGGAATTACAGGCCATTGAAAACGAACGCGGTCCCTTGGGTGCGCCCTGTTATGCTGAAGCCGGATTTCCAACAACGCTACGTCGAAGGGTAAATGATAGCGTTTTAAAACGCGGACGCAGTTTGATACGGAACAGAACGGAACAGGACGCATTGCTGCCATCCGTGATCATTATCTCCGGCTCGTTTCATCAGTGCGTTGTAGGTTTGTAGGTTGTAGGTAGGTTGCCACTTGATGGGCTTAAAGCAGCCATGATGTTGTATTTTTCCAGAAACAAGCAAATTTCACTCCGAAATCCGTTTGTTGAAACGTTGACATACCAGACAGCCATATTTATGATTAACGTGCAAAGTATTTGTTACCATAAGCAGTTGGCGAAAGCAGTACGCGTTACCTGCCAGTAATCTATTATGTCATAGATATTCCGAGGTTCCTTACTGTACATAGTAGTAAAACTAACTGCTCCAACCGCGACTGCGCTAGCGGCTCATATGCCGCAGAGTGGTGCGGCCGCGGCCCGTTCCACGAGGTCAAGTGATGCACCCGGGGCGATGACCTGACCGGCCGGCCAGAGAACGGCAAACAAATATGCAAAATCGACCCGCTTGTCACCAACGAAAATGGGTTTTATCGATTTCAATAATCAGCGGCTAAGTCACCCACATGGTAGGTCGTGACAATTGGAACCGATGCAATTGTTTGGCAACAATTTCTTTTTAAGTCATACTCAGCCCGCACTACCTCTTATACAGCTGTCACACTAATTACGTAGTAATCAAATACGTTGACAATCCGAGTTATTCTAGAGAATAGGTACGTATTCCCTTCATTAAAATCACCTGCGATCATCGATGCTCTGCTCCTACCCCACGTGCGCCATTTCATCCAGGTGTATGGCAACGCACCTTGTTCAAACATCTCGAAACTTCAGTAGATCCTGAAATTCACTGCAAGAGCAATATGAGGTGGACGAAAATGTGATAACATATCGGATATGCTTATTGAATTAGGCTGGCTGCTCTCGCGTTAGTTGGTGTGCATTTTTACCGCACTACTGTCTGTCACTACTGTCTAATGCACGGCGTTGTAACCAATGGGAAGGCCTGTGGTGTTGCACTCTGCACTGGTGCACAATAGTGGGAGTGTGGTGCGAGACGCGCAGGAGTTTCATTATCTGCACCAGCCTCGTGTGCTGAACTGATCGGGGAGGGAGGCAACAATATATGCGCCGCGTGGTGTGGCAGCGCAGCGACAATGTCATCACTGCGGCTCTGCCAAATGTATGTACCGCGTGGTGTGGCAGTGCAGCGACAATGTCATCACTGCGGCTCTGTCCAATATATGTGCCGCGCGGTGTGGCAGTACAGCGACAGTGTCATCGCTGCGGGCCTGCCCACCGTCTCAAAGCGACATTGCAAAACTAGGATTCGCTGCATAATTGCGCTAATGTGATTGTGGACTCAGGACGGGTGTGTTGTGTGTAGTGTAGGTGGGACGGGTGGGGAGGGAGGAGGGGGGGTTGGCACTGATTTTATTGGCATGCGACCTGTGCTTTCACATAAATTGACAAGGGTCCGAGTTACAGAGCCCAGCTAGTGTTGATTGCTCCGACTGTGTGCAGTACAATACGATACAATACAATACCTTTGACCATTTCAGGAAAGCCTATGTTTCACTCCGAACTTCCAGTATAAATGATACATATATATCAATAAATACTCCAACAAAAGACCGACTAACGACTAAGCTGATAATAAAGGCAACTATCTCTAGGTGTCTCAATGATGACTTAATCGAGGCGCAAAGCTTTTACATCTAAATACTGAGCAGCACCACTGACATGCCTGCATTGACAGATTGAGACGCATTTCACGCAACTTGGAAACCCCCTTTTTGAGCCCTGGAACGCCTCTTCCATGCACGCTCTGTTATCTTGCGATGACCGTAAGCCATGGCGCAGCAATGTTTTCACCGGATGCATCAGTTACTTCTGTAAATGCAAGGTAGTGTGTGTAATCCAAGAGAGGTCACCATCTTAGCCTGATCGTCAGATTTTACTGTGCGTCACTCCCAGTGCGGAATTTTGGAATCACCCCTTCGCAAGCCATTTGTCCAAAATTTTGACACATTACGTAAAAAGGCTGAGCATGATTTAAGATGAACCCTCGCCTTATTGAGAGCTTCCTTACTGGCGTTAAATGTCTATTTGACTACCTGTCTCTGTCACGCCCGCCGGGCCGAGTGTTCGCCGCTCTTGTTCTATCTGCTATGTCTTCTTTGCGGACGCCGGCCTGACCCGCACTGCGGCGGGCTGGTGTCCAGATGTGTCTTGGCGGCCTGCCCCTACCGCACGGCACGCCACGCCAGTTCTTTAGGGAGATCGGTAGGGAGCAGTTGGTCACCCGTCCGGGCCGGTGTCCACATTCTCTCCAAGCCTCGTATCTTTGTCAATGTGCTGCGTTTTATACGTTTTGGTCTCACATTTCTCATCAATTTTCGCTAGTGCTAAGATATATCAAATAGTTGACATCAAGTGTAATCCTTTTCAGCGTTTGTACGCAGCAGTGACGCACTGGCTCAGACTGCAACAAATGCCTTTCTCAGTCAATGGCATTCACCGTCACTCTGGCTATCACTAACGATGATTTGTAATGACGTCATTTATACCTGAATAATTGGTACTTCTAATCTCGCAGACCCACAATGTGCGGGTTAAAACAGCTCATAAGTGGTACCTGCAGTTTGTAACAGTTGGTGACGGCCGTTAACAGATTCTGAAGTCGTCAGTTGTCGCTGACTGAGGCTATATCTCATTATGTTTTGATGGTGTTGCATGACACCAAACAATGCTAATATTAGCCGTAACTGTTCGTGAGGTTTCACTACATTGTGTTTTAGAAAAGGTGGGTCGCTTCCTTCCAGAGTCTCCTCTAAGCCTATATAGTCGTACTGCTAGGAAGCTGATATCGACATGAACAACAACACGTGATCATGTGCTGTTTTTCTGCATATCATACAAACGCACGACATCATCGACCTGCAAAGCGGCTGCACAATGCGTTCTTCACAGCCGGAGCATCCGATTGTTTCGGC